CCCAAAAAACATCAAAACCAATAATTATAATGTAATAGGTAAATTAATAATGTAACAAGTATCGACCCAAACGAGGTGCACGCATAATATATTAGGTCAACATAAAGTATCGACACTTATTAAAAGTGTCGATCCCGAAAACATCGAAACCAATAATTATAATGTATTAGGTAAATTTACAATGTAACCGATATAAATATACCGGTTTTATGCTAAAATAGGTCAGCATATAGTATCGACACTTGTTAAAGTTGTGTCAATACTTACGGTCTAGAATGAATGTCAAAAAAGGTGTACCCTTAAAGTGTCGATACATTTATTAAAAAAGTATTGATCCCTAAAACATCGAAACCCATAAGTATAATGTTCAATGAAACCGGTATAATTATACCGGTTTTATGAGAGAATAGATCTAAATCATGTATCGACACTTTTTTAGTTTGTGTCGATATTTTTGTCCAGAATGAAATATTAAAACCAACGAGGTGCAAGCATAAAGTGTCGATACTTACGGTCTAGAATGAATGCCAAAAAAGATGTACCCTTATAAAGTATCGATACATTTATTAAAAAAATATCGATCCCTAAAACATCGAAACCTATAAGTATAATGTAATAGGTAAATGGTCAATGAAATCGGTATAATTATACCGGTTTTATGAGAGAATATGTCTAAATCATGTATTGACACTTTTTTAGTTTGTGTCGATATTTTTGTCCAAAATGAAATATTAATGCCCAACGAGGTGCAAGCATAAAGTGTTGTTACTTTTATAAAAAGTTTCGACACTTTATGAAATATCGAAACCGATAATTATAATGTAATAAGTAAATTTACAATGTTACCGGTATAAATATACCGATTTACTTATAAAATAGGTCAATATAAGCGCTATCTATTACATTATATAAGCGCTACCTAATATGTTATTATACTTGATAATATTTCCCGTTAAATACCTATTTTATTATATAAGCGCTATCTATTACATTATATAAATGTTACCTAATATGTTATTGTACTTGATAATATTTCCAGTTAAATAATATAACATAACCGGTCTAAATTTTAATCGATCACTTATTTAACCGATCACACCGTATATTAACCGTTTTTTAAGCACCACACCGTATAACTACCCATAATTCATAATAAATTGATCAGACAGCAAATAATTGTACCGTTCAACAAAGTCTTGAACAGAACAAGGAAAAGAAAGGGTAGCACAAGCGGTGCAGTGCCCTCAGTTTGAAGGAATTGTTAATGTCATGTCAGCATCCAGGGTATCACTCACGTATGAATGTACCTTCGGAATTGGAAAGAGTTCAGTAGAAATATAAAGTTTAAAAACGGTTTTGGAAAAAATGTGTTTGTTTATTTAAAATATGGGTTAGATCTAAATTTAATATTCAAAATTCGAATTTGATTTAACTTATTCTTTAAATTTATATAATATAACATTTTATATTATATTATAAATCATACAAACTAAATGTATAATAATACACCATATTATAATAAAACTATTGAAAATATGTCAAATTGTTATACGTATGTTCTGTAAAATAAAGTCAACACCGATCATTTTGGGTTAGGTATGATCGAACATACATAAAATTATTTTTTAAATATTTGAAAAAAATCATTTTTAAAAAGATAACTTTCACAGTCGATATTTAAAACCAAAGTAAATAAGACGAATTCCAGAGTCGATTATACTCGATAAAGGTTAAAGATTTAAAGTATTTCACGATACCTAAAATTGATATCTTGTCACGTTACATCTTACTTTAATTTCTGAAAATTATGAATTTAAAATTGAATATCTCGAAATTGAAATATGAAGATAAACTTTAATAATATAGCAAATTATGATTCTTTTCTCGTCGTTAGGGTTAGTCTTGGGAACTAATAGTGAACAATATTGCTATGCGATGTTAAACTAGGAAGCTTCTCAATTGTATCTATCTATTTTCTATGTACCTATGTGTTAATTATTGTTATTTTCTTATGTTTCGAGTTTGAGTATAACATTTGTAGGGGTGAAGGAGTGTTGATTGTGAACAATAGTGATAAAAACAGTTAAACTAGGAAGATTCTTTATTGTTTCTATCTATTGTCCTTGTATCTATGTGTTAATCATTGTTATTTTTTTATGTCTCGAGTTTGATTATAACTTTTGTAAGGGTGAATGAGTGTTTATTGTCAAATAGTTGACAATCTTTCGAATAAATACTACTTATTATGAAATAGTAAAATAACAAAGATTAAAAGAAAAAAAAGATTTGTTTGTATTCGAGTTAGCTTTATTTAAAGAAAAAAATTCACCCAACCTGAGGTGACAAAACTCCGATATGTCCAAACTTGATGAGGCATGGTTCTAAAATGATGATTCATTCCTTCATACCTGATGAGATAGGATTTTCACAATGCTGATCCACTCCTTCACATCTAAGGGTATAAGATCCTTAGATCTGTGGAAGGGGAGTAGTTTAAGTGCATCACTTGTGTTAGTGATAGATCTCTTGTCTTGATAGTTGGCACCTGAGCATTTGGGGAAGACGACAAAGAGTCATCTTCCTTCTAAAAGCTCTTGCAAGTACGATGAAATGACTAAATTTATGTTACACTGATACTTTGAAGTTTAAATTGTAGAAACCAATTCAAAATAGTCATAGTGTAGGATACCTTATGCCATTAACCAATTCAAAAGGTAACCTTTTTATTTTCTATTATAATTGCATCTTCTTCTTTATTCTCTTTCTTCATTGTTAAACCTACTTTAAACAACAACAACAACAATAAAACCCTATTCCCATATATAATGGGATAAGGGGAGGTGAGGTAGTAGGCTGCCCCCAACGCCAGATTGAGAGCAGTTTCAATGGAAGACCTCCAGCAGTAAGATAATTAAAAATAAAGATAAAATACAATGCATGCACAAATAAATCAATAAATACATAGTTGAACAGTCTTCATATGCAGTCTTCATATGCGCGTCTGTAATGGGAAGTAATCCCTGCAAATAAATCCATGCGAATAAATCCCTGCGTATAAATATCTGCTTATAGACATAAACGTAAGTCCCGGTTAAATTTAAAAAGAGGAAACATGAAGAGAAGGATACACAGAAGTCAGCGATAGCAAGTTACGAGAAGGAATAAAGTCAAATGGGTTAAATCCTAAACTAAGGGAACACTACTCCGTTATCCTAGTTCTAAGCCTTTATACATTCCAATGACAAAAACATATAAAAAGTAGAAGTCATGGAAATTACTACAAAGGCATTAAAAAGAATACATAGATGCTACACCCTATGTCTGTGACCTACACTACTCGGGTACCCTGGTCTTAAGTCTCCATACTTTCCTATCAGAGGTCATGTCCTCGGTAAGAGCTAATTCCTTCAAATCAGATATCAAGCAGTCTACCCACTTCCTCCTTGGTCGTCCTCTCCTTCTGGCACCATCAACTGTAATCGACTCTACCCTTCTGACCGCATCTGACGGTTGTCACCTAAGAATATACCCAAACCACCGTAATCTTCCCTCCCTCAATTTTTCGGATACAGTCACCACCCCCAAGGATTTCCTAATTACAGAGTTTGGTGTCATGTCCCACAGAGTCCTACCACATGTCCATCGAAGCATTATCATTTCTGCGGCCTTCATCCTCCTTACGTGATCCTTCTTGATTGCCCAACATTCAGATCCATACAACAGCGCTGGTCTTATTGTCATTCTATAAAATTTTCCATTAAGTTTTAGAGGCACCTTTTTGTCACACAAAACTCCAGTTGCAGCCCTCCACTTTAGCCATCCCACATTTATACGGTGTGTAATATCATCATTTATACTCCATCTTTATGTATCATAGACCCTAGGTACTTGAAACAATCCTTTGAGGGGAGAACGTATCCTTCGATGCATACTTCTCCATCTTCATCGTTTTGGTTCCCACTGAAGTTTGAACATAAATACTCTGTCTTTTCAATATTGATCCTTAGACTTTTTTCTTCAAAAACAGTCTTCCAGGTAGCCAGTCTACTATTTAGCTCAGGTTTTGTTTCAGCAACTAAGACAATGTCGTCAGCGAAAAGCATATACCATGGAACACCGTCTGATGTCGCATAATAGATTTCATCTATAATCAAGGCGAAGATGTAAGGGCTAAGAGCTGACCCCTGGTGGAGTCCGATTTCCACCGGGAAAGCCTCGGTGTCGCCAACTGTAGTCCTGACGTAAGTAGTAGATCTACAGTACATATCCCGAATCGCCCGGATATAAGCAGTTGGGATCCGTCTCGTTTCCAAGATCTTCCAGATCGTATCGCGGGGAACGCTATCATACGCCTTCTCAAGGTCAATAAATGCCATGTGAAGATCTCTATTTTTTCCTATATTTCTCCATAAGCCGTCGAAGTAGATGAATCGCCTCCGTAGTAGACCTGCTTGTCATAAAGCCAAATTGATTTTCCGAAACCCTAGTAATCTGTCTCAACCTAGCCTCTATCACTCTTTCCCTAGCTTCATGGTATGACTGAGTAGTTTAATACCTATGTAGTTATCACAACGTTGGGGATCTCCTTTATTCTTATAGATTGGTATCACCGTAGACTCTCTCAACTCGTCTGACATCTTGACAGTCTCTAAAATAATATTAAAGATGTTGATCAACTACTTAACTCTATCGTCTCCGATAATATAAAAGGAGCTCGTTTTCTCGCTAGTGTGCCTGACCGAACAAAGCCAAAAGCTCCGATAAAAAAACGGAAGAAAAGTAAACTTCACACAGTCAAACTGCCAAGAATCGGCCAAAAACAGTCGAAAGCAGCCAAAGAACCCGAGTCCTCTCCCTCAGGCTTCACCCCTCCCCTTTTCTTCCCATTTCACTTTCTCCTTTTTCAACTACCATACAATCAACAATTTTTGGCATTAATTCCCACATTTCCCCTTCCGTCGCTTTCCCCTCCGTAAAAAAAAAACGAAAAACTGATTCCCTCTTTCCCTCTTCTTTTTACAAGAAGGCAACTGTCTCCTTTCTTTCCTTCTCCGTTACGCATTTTCTATATTTTCATTCCCCATTTTCAGTCTTACAAACCCTTTGTTTTCTCTCTCCTTTGTTTGGTTGATTATGTCACAGATCTGATTTACAGAAAAGAAGCAAAACTCGATGAGTTTTTAAAAAAATTGATTTAGAGATTTAATGCTGTTTGGTTTTAAGGCTTTTGAAACCGATGTTTGGATCGGAAATGGAGACGAGAATGAAGAAATATAGGCAAGTGAGTCCGGAGAGAGCTAAAGTTTGGACTGAGAAATCGCCCAAGTACTATCAGCATAACCGGAAGGTTCCGGTTGTTTATTATCTCTGTAGAAATCGCCAGCTCGAGCATCCGCATTTCATCGAAGTTCCTCTCTCTTCTTCTGATGGACTCCATTTGAGAGGTAATTTTAATTAAACTTCTAAATTTGTTCATAAATTTTTTTTAAAAAAATCTTGATTGAATCTTTTTGATTCTGTGTAGATGTGATTGAGAGGCTTAATAATCTTAGAGGCAGAGGAATGGCATCCTTGTATTCTTGGTCTTGCAAGAGGTAACAAAAAGATTTTTAAAAACTGACATGCAAAATATTAAATGCTGGTTGGTTGCTGAGAAACCGTGGGAAATTAATAGAGAGACAATCCTTTAAAACGTAGTTTTTGAAGTATTAATTGTTGCAGAAGCTATAGGAATGGATTTGTATGGCATGATCTTTCTGAAGATGATTTAATACTTCCTGCACATGGAAACGAATACGTTCTTAAGGGCTCCGAATTATTTGAAGAATCTAACTCAGGTTAATATCATTTTATGATTTACTCATATTAGTTTTAATAGGGGGAGAAAAAGGAAATGTAAGCCTAAAGAATTAATGCTAGTGATTTTTCGTGTTCAGATCGCCTTAGTCCAGTTGAGAATAGCAGTAAATTGCAGAGTCTGAAGCAATTACCTGAACCACAATCTTCTTCTAGAAGCCAAGATGATTCTTCGTCGTCTTCCAGTATGAATGAGAAGAGAACAAAAAATTCTAAGGATGATGAACTCTGTTCTCCAGTTAACCGTCCAACTCCTGGCTCCTCTGGTGGGTCACCGGAGTCTAGATATGGAAAGAATTTTTCTTGGGGTTGTTCCCTTAGTTTGACGGAGTATAAGGTTTGTAGGAGTGATGGATTAGCGGATGCTTCAACACAGACTGAGGAAAACACAGACAGACCTAAGACACGGGAAACATGTATAAGGGGTGTTTCAACTGATGGCGGGTCATTAGAACCCGTTGGCAATGTGAATTTCCAGAACCAGGTCCCTAACCCTTGTGTAAAAGATAATTCAGAGATATGCAGGAATCCAGTTTCTCCACCATCCACTTCTAGTGCATCATCTACTGGAGGGAAAACTGAAACATTGGAATCTTTAATCCGAGCAGATGCAAGTAAAATCAATAGTTTTAGGATTCTTGAAGAGGAAGATATCCGAATGCCAACCAATGCTAGGCTCAAGGCAACAAGCATGTTGATGCAGTTGATCTCATGTGGGTCGATATCTGTGAAAGATCATAGTTTTGGCCTTGTTCCAATCTACAAGCCTAGGTTTTCTCATTCGAAATTTTCATCACCATTGTTCTCTAATTCAATCATGTTGGGAGAGCTTGACTGCTTATCAGAGAATCCGAGGTTGATGGGCCTGAAATTGGAAGACAAAGAATATTTCAGTGGTAGCTTGATTGAGACAAAAATGCTCAAACAAGAAGCAGAAGGACATGCCACTCTGAAACGGTCTTCTTCATATAATGATGAAAGGTAAGCTTGTGTTTCATTCTATTTTTGTTATTTTACTAGGGTATTTAATGAATGAATTACTTTGATACTAAATACAAAGCATTTTAAAGGTCAAATGTGCACATAATTGTTTACAGTTGAAACTACTCCAGTACTAGAGCAGGGCAATGCGAACATAGTTCAAAACAACTAAGAGCTTAGCACAATAAGATTCAATTCAAGTGCTTCAGATCAGATCTTTTAGACCTTTCGTATTGTAGAGTCTGAATGCCTATGAATGTAGCAAAGCCCATGCATTAAACTTCATTCTTTTGTGCTTCAATCATGTGGAGATATTTTTCATGGCAACGGAATTCTTCTTTTGTTCTATTTAGGATGCCTGACATATAAAGGCCCCCCTCCATATAAGATTCTTCTTTTGTTCTATTTACGATGCATCTTCTTTGATGTCAAAACAAATTTCTTAGTTGAGGTAATAACTATGATTAGAACTGGGATCATAGATTGATTGGTTTAGGCTTCTTTAAGAATGAAGTGTGCTTTGTTTCATATGTATAATGTAGCTTCAGCTACGTTTATTTTGTAGCTCATGATAAGCCCATGAAACTAAGTTAAATTATAGGTCTTGTAAGGAGCTAGAATCAGCTGAAGACAAAGAAGAGACAAATTCAGGACTCACAAAATGCATCCCCCGCTCCATCAAAGCTTCACTAAGCAAGCAGCCAAGGAGCGAGTCAATGAGATCTCCTATTTCTGATAAACCAAGAAACTCCTCTGACGGGATTGACAACCCACACACTGTATCGAGTAGCACATCTGCTGGTAGCAGTAGAAGAATAACTGAGCCAGTTGTTAATCAAAAGCAATCAAAAAGGTTGGATTCATTCAGAGAAGAGGAGCAGGTGATAAAAATTGAAGAAAGTTAAGTATGAATTCCTCCATTATAACTTTCAAGGTGGAAGATCAAAAATTGTTTTTACGTGTGATGTTTCTTGCTTCATATTGGTTGACAAACTGGTGATTTCCCTCAACAGGCTTGCTTCAGGAGCTCGGGTTATAATCCAATCCAAGATGCCTTGTGATACTGTTGGTTGCTCCTAGTGGAGGAGCAGCATGTTAAAGGTAAAATGAAGGCCTTGGATCCTTTTTGAGAAATCCCGTTCAATGTAATTCAATATTGGTTTTGAATTTCAAATGTTTTAATGTTAGATAATATTGGCGGGGTCAAATTTGATGATTCTGTATATCTGGAAAGCTACAAAAAAGAAAGATAAAGGTGGATAATATGGCTCCTGATGGAAGGAGTAAATTTTTGGTTCAGCTTTCTTATATTAGATCCCGCCTTTATGTTAACTACAGTTGCAGTATCATTAATTCATCATCCTTTTTGCTTTCTTTATTGCACTTTTACCACAAGTAACTGTTCGTTGCTCTCAAAAGATACAAAAACTGCACTGATTTCGCACATTTTTATCCGATATATTTTGTTTAGACACGTTCAAAGGGAATATTGGTCTTGAATGAGGGACAGTGTTGGGTGCTTAGACTCCTATGTTGTTCACTTTCAGGTTGAGACTGAGAATAAGAGCCTTTTTTGTTTGTATGATTGTTTTTGAGTGAAAGGTCAAAGCAAAAAGTTGATTTGAAAACCGTAGCTTTGTTGAGTGAGATGGCTCTACTTTCGAGCTTCATGCATGTTGATGTTTTTCTTCTATGGGGGCGTCGTTGTCACTTTTGTTAAAAGTGTCTTTTGAATTTAGCAGATTGATGACCAAAATAATCTAACAATCTTCAATGCAAGGATTGAGGGGACCAGTTGATGTTTTAAACAGATATAGTGTAAGTTTCACAGTTGCCCATTTGATCAGTAACAAGGAGATGAAGGTAAGGTTTGAATTTGTCGAAAGATGGAAAGAAATAGCGGAAGATAAGAAAACCAGCCGATTGTTTTATGAATAAGCCGACAAAAGTGGATGATTTCGGGAACAAAATGAGTGGATAGACCCAAAATCCAAAATTTCATACGACATGAGTGAAGCAGAGTTATATTGCATAGGTGGGGAGAATGAAAAATGAGAGGGACCTACCTGCCTAGACTCTGGTTTTAGTAAAAGTGGAGGTCTAGAATTAAAATTAAACCAACTTTCCCCCCTTCTTTTTCTGTTTGCTTTTTGAAATGACTTCAAAAAGTTGGGGACGAAACAAACCCTTGGGGACTGAGTCACTTGTCATAGAACATTATTTAATAAGGTTGTAAATTAAATTAGATATTTTATAAGTTATTCGAGTCTGATTCAGTTAAAGTTCAATCTAATTAGTTTGATTTGAGTTCTTAGCAAGCTTAAAATGATTTATTTGACATTGAACTCGAAAAGATCGCAAGTAGTTCGAAAGATAATATATTAAATTTTTAATTTTTAATTTTAAAATTAAATTATTAATAATTTTAATATTTATATGATATTTTTTTTATAAAAAAAATACAATATAATATTTTCATGTACTTATGGTTTATGTTTAAATTTGAGTTTGAGCTTGAACCAAGTTCGAGTTTGAGCTTCAATAGAGCTAAGTCTTAGAATATTTTTAGTTTAAGTTTTTTGGAGTTTTAGTCAAGCTTCAATTTTTAATTTTGAGTCGAGCTTGAAATTCGTGAGCTTTCGAGTTAAATTTGAAAATTTCAAGCTCGCGAACTTTCGAGTCGAATTGAATGAAACTTTAAATATTTTAAATCAAGTCAAGTTCAATAATACTCAAACTTAACTCATATTTGTTTATGGCCATACTCTTTAAACACAAAATACAAATTCATGTGATGAAGAAATAATTAATATAATTACAATCTATTCAATAATTAACTAATAAAATCTTCTCCATTCAAACCTGGCATACAATTTTAGCCAGTAATTGAAATGATAAATGTTGGTTGGAAACATGTGATAAGTAATGAATCCCTTGGACTCCATTCCAGTAGACAAAGCACTGGTTTTATTTTTAAGTAGACATTTATGGTGCTGAATATTGATGATGCCGTGTCACTGAAAACTTGCAATTTCAGTAACAAAAGATCTGTTATGGTTCAATGATGTAAGAGAATTGCATGTCTCTCTCACATTAACTATAAACAATTAAAGGATGCACGGGCTTTTACACTTTCTCAGCACAGTTCAGGTGATCTTTATTATCTTCTATTTTTTTTGAAAGAAAAAAAACTATCATATTGGTCATTTTTTATTCTGTTCACATCAAATATGTTAAATTTTAGATAAAATAATAGCTAGTCCTTAGCAACTTAGACATTGGAGAAGAACATCTCAACACATCGCAACGCAGTTGGATCTTCACACTCTAAAGCAAGAATGAGATAAAAATCTTGACCAAAGTAAAAAATATCTGAAGAGAATTTGAAGAAATATAACTCTTATTATGTTGCAAGCAATGATTGCAAGATTGAGCGTGTCTAGTGGTGGTTTGATAGCATATTTGTAATTTAAGTCGACCTTATCGCAACAAATTAAGGATAAAAAGTTGGATTATCAATTTTTGGAGAAGAAAATTCAGTAAGTTAATCAGATAGTATTTTGAGTTTCCATTAGAGCCTTGTGTGTCCGATGTTATTTAGGTTCTGGTGGACATGCTTTAAGTGTATATTATAGAGTTCGATGATAATTAAGAGAAGTATTTTCCTTTAACTCATTTTGCATATAATAATAGTCTCTAGTTGTTGGTAATGCTCAATCCCACATAGAGTTGGAAACCTATTAAGAATGTGTATTTAAGGTTTACATTTTCCACTCCCTTGTTGAGTGATAGAAAACAAGGGGACTTTTACACGCCGCCATCGTCTCAACTCATCTTTTTAGAGAAAATTCGTGTGGAATTTCTCTCTAAAAGCAATGAACATGGACTATTTTTGAGTTAGATTCATCAGGATGTTTTAACGGTTATAATAGGGTTTAATTCCATAATTAAAATCAGATATTAATATGATTTTTTGTTGGACAATAATACCCCTATTTTAGCCTAAAAACAAAGAGTTAAATTCAACTTCTCAACTCACTGTTCACTCTCTTAGTGTTTCTAAAGTTGTTATCTCTATACTTTCCTATCAGAAGTACAATACCTCCAGCAATCCACTCCGATTTCGGGTATACAAAATTTGGAGCGACCGTGTTAACCTCGGGGGACGATCCGCCTATTGGAGCGATTACACATACCAAATGAATTTGTTTCTAAGGCAATGATTTTTACCACGACACGATTTACGATTTCAACTTTTGAATTATTATTGCTAACGATGTGATTTTGCAGTCCATATTTCCAACACTTGAGTATTATGATTCCTCCTTTTAATGTTTTATATGGGCATAAGTGTAGAGCACTATTATACTCGACGAAGATGAACGAGAATTGAATTGTTGGTTCAAACTTGATTAAAGAAACAAAAAATAAGGTTAAGTTGATTTGTGAGAGGTTGAAAGCGATATTTGATCGTCAGAAATCATATGTTGATTTAAAATGTCAAAACCTTAAGTTTCAAATTAATAATAGGGTCCTTTTGAAAGTATCGTCTTGAAAAAAGATATTACGTTTTGGTCGAAATTGTAAACTTAGTGTAAGATTCTTTGGTTCTTACGAGGTACTAAATAGAGTTGATATGGTAACATATCATCATTTTTTTTGGTTAAACTTGAGCGTATCCATGATGTGTTTCGTGTTTCTATGTTATACAAGTATCAATCAGTTATGTCTTATATTATTCAGTTAGAGGAGATTGATGTTCAACCTTATGTTACATATAAAACAGAGTCAATTGAAGTCTTAGCTCGAGAGAGAATATAATTGCATAATAAAAAAGTGTCATTCGTTGAGGTTTTGTGGCAAAACCACAAAACAAGGAAGCTACGTAAGAATCCGAGGATGTAAAGATACGTCAATACCTGCACTTGTTCAATTCATGTAATTTCGAGGATAAAATTATTTTTAGGGAGGGATATTTGTAACATCTTAAAATAATATAAATTGGTTATCAAACATAATTTCGAAAATGAAACAGTTTTTAAAAGGAAAAAAAAGATTTTATTAAAGTTAAAAAGTACCTTTTATGAAATTATAAAACATATAGAAATCTTGGACTAAATGAATTTTATTAAAATTATATAACTTTGATTTTGAAGTTAAAAAGTATTAATTGGATGAGGAACAAACCTTATAAGCTCCCAAAGACCATTTTACCATTTATTTAAAAGTTAGTTAATTCTTTTCCTTTTATGTTATATTAAAATTAACTTCTATAAATTACTAAATGATTTATATATTATTTTATTAAAAACAATGTATAACTACCTCATTTTTCAATCACTATCGATCTCTAATTTCTTTCTTCTTCGTCTATTTTCTATTCAGACTTTCCACCCAAACACCTTCATTTTCGTCCTGCTATCAAGATTAAGCCTTTTAGATCAAGATTAGATTCTCCTAAATGAGAGATTTAATTTTATTGATTTTTTTTTATACATTGATGTGAGATTTGTATGCATAGTATTTATTGGTTTATATATGAATATACATGATTTGATTCAACATACAAATGGTTTCAATTTTTAAAAGATTATGTTGGTTTAGATATTAATATCCAACCCTGAAGGACCATAGACTCCACAACACATGAAAGAATGAAAGGAAGCTAGAGTTAATAACTAGACTTAACAACAACATTTGAATTCAAATACATGCAAGCTTTCTGTCCTGCCTGTATTCAGACTGTATTCACAATGCATTGACAAAGACCATCAAGTTAAGAAGAAATTTAATGGAAAAATCATTTATCTGTCCCAATCTAACACTGTTCAAACTGCGATCATCTCACCATCTCAGACATTCCCGTCGAGCACGAAGCAGTAACGGGGCCTCCACGTGTCTGTTTCGTGTTGTAGGACTCGCAATTCGGGCATTTATGTGCCACGACATGGAACTGTACGTTCGAAGTGGCTCCACAATCGTTGCATAGAATCCATACCATCTTATTTTGGTATATTGCAGGCATTGGGGTTGAGGCAATCTACATTGAAATGTAAGATGACAAAGTCAGGATCCAGGGAAAGAGTTACATTTATGAACACATGCTTGTCATCAGTTGGAGAAGAAACAACATTGCCACAAGCTCTATAAGTACCTCCTTGTCAAGCTTTCTCCACAGTTTCGACATATCGCAGATAGACTTTGAGCAGACAGGACAAGAGTACCTGGGGTATAGGGAAGTAGATTAGAATTTGCTAAGGAAAATAGGATGATATAAAATTAGGAAATATAATCATTGATTAAATCAATAGAGTAACATTGCTTACCTATAATGTTGCTCCATCTCTCTCAAACATGCCAAATGCATCGTGTGTCCGCAAGGTAAAACTGTTACATCTTTCATCGTGTTGAAAAGATACTGCAAAATATGGAACATGTCATCTCACTCAAAAACACCTTTTCCTCCCCACATTAGCTTTATATGATACGGAAGTGGCAATTATGCTTTTTTGTTTACCTCGAAGCAAACAGGGCAATTGTGGTGCATTACTCTCTCAATGCAACAATGTACTTCCCTCATAATTTTTGAATAGCAGCATCCTGTGGCAGCAACTCCAAATAAATGCTAGGTGGAGAAAGAAGAAAAAAGGAAAGAGAGGGACTGCATTTCATTTTGTTTTGACCAAAACATTATCCACTTTCACTCACCGCATTTGCTGCAATGAAAGAAGTTTTCCTCACCGCCAGTTCTGCAAAACAGACAGCAGAGATTATGAGATATGACAAGAAATCATCGAAATATATGGTGGATTTGATTGGGAATATGGTTTCAGCAGTGATTATGGGTTTGAAAGTAAACTTGAAAATTTACCTGCATATGCCACATTCATCACAGTGGTATTGGCTTTTGGAAACCTGAACAATGCAACAGTTTACCATATAAGCAATCATTTGCAGATTTTCAAGCCAAAATTCATATTACGAGTCAGCAAAGAATGGAAAAAAGGACTTACATCATCGTCGAAGAATTTGCATTTAGCACAAAAGTACTTTCCCATACAGACTCCACAATTGATGCAATACTGTTGGACCTGAAAGGATAAAAGAAACGATTATAATAACTGCAATTCGGTTTTGGATTTAATAAATAAGTACATTGTTTCAATCTCAATGTTTGGTGGTGGATCACTCACGTCTTGTTCTGAGTCACATAGGGAGCAAATGACCTGAAATTGACAAACGAAAGGAAATATGATTATGAGCTTTTTAATCAATTTGAATTACATTATTGGTGATAGAATACAAGTCACCAAGCAAAGATATTTATAACATATAGTTAAAAAAACCACAGATTACCCACACAAGAAACTTCCATTTTAGTTATCAATTTTGTTTCATTCTTCATATATTTGTAGTTATGCACTTGCTTTTTAATTTTCACTCAAACAGACATGAAAATAAAAGGGGGAAAGAAAAAGGCAGAGTAATGTCAGCTTTATGGGCCAATTATCAAAATCGAAGTGGTTCACATTTATGTCATTAATTAATCTTCTACAGCTCTCTCTTCCAAGTATCTATAAGTATAACAAGCCAATATTATACTTGGAATCCAAATTATTGCAGTGAATAACAGAAAATAGACATTCTACCACCAACAAAAGAAAAGGAAGACAAACCTTTTCGACTTCATGGCGAGGAATGTCATGTCGATGAAGAGGATTAGATTCCATGGAATTCTATTTATAGATTTTTCCAGAAAACATAAACCAGGATCAGCTAAAAGCTAATATTATGAACGCTTCTAAAAATAAAAAGAAAGGAACATATCCGGCCATACCTTAGCTTCATTATGGCAATGTCTGCAACAAAAAATCTCACCGCAACAGGGTGCTCTAATCTTACATCTTCTTCTATAATGCGAGCACCTAATCGTATGCACAGATTAATTGAAAATAGAAAAGAAATATATCATAAAACAATCAATCAAACAGGAACTTGATGAACAAGGCAAAACCAGTAGATTAATTTAAAAAAAAAGCAAAGAAAATGAAAAATTACCCATAATTCCCTAATCCAATCTCCATCAAACAATCATTTTGGTTTGCAAATTCAACAGAATCCAATTCGGTTGTGCATAGCTTCGTCTCACATACACCTTCCATTTCTCTTTCACGCTGAATCCCCCGAGAAATTAACAAACGTTGAACAAATTAATGAAAGGAGGGAAAAGAAAAGAAAAACAAAGGACCCAAAAACGAATGTTTCCTTTGAATCAATTTTTTTTGGGGGGGAGTCATAGCAATTTATATGGATGAATTTGAAACGAACTGAATCAGATACAAGCAAGAGCGTGGCATGTGAGGCAATTAATCAAACAGATGATGGAGATGTTACAGTGTATTGAATCATTAATAACTATAATTAGAATCTGCCTTCTATATCTGCGAATTTTTCTTGATAACTTACCCGGAATAACGCGCTTTAAATCTCCGATCTTATATTAGGATAATACTAACTCAGATAAGCCTTTGATTCGAATCAGTAAATTGACGATGCTGACTCGGCTTAGAAAGTAGAGTGAGTTGGGTTCCGTACTCCGAGTTAAGAGTAAGATTTTTCCGCTGTGGTTTTATAGATCATACAAAGGGAAGAGCAAACCACCGCAGGCTTGGCCCATTGAGATTATGAACTGGTCTCATGTTCTAGGCTCGAATCGTGCTGATTGAGAATCCTAGAAAAAAATGAGGGATAGAATGGTGGGTTATTTGAGCTGAACCTCTTCGAAGATTATCTTGTAGGGTCGGATTCTTTAACCTAACTTTGGAAGGTCCTTCGTTATCAAAAAAAAAAAAAGGAAGAGCAGTGGCAGGCAGGAAAACAAATGTGAAAAAGTGTTTATGAAATTATATTTAAGTGCATAACTTTTGGAGTTTAAATGCAGAATTAGAGGTTCCCTTTAAGGGTGCGTTTGGTTCACGGAATATAAGATTACCTCTGAGAATAGAATTACCGGAATGTAACATTACCTAACACATTATTGGGAATGTTACATTACTGGAATGTTACATTACTGGGAATGTTACATTACTGGGAATGTTACATTACTGGGAATGTTACATTACTGTGAATGTTACATTACTGGAAATGTTACATTACTGAGAATGTTACATTACTGAGAATGTTACATTATTGTGTTTGGTTTGTTTGGTAGGAATGTAAGATTACAGTGTTTGGTTGAAAGAATAAACATTACTGGAATGTATATTTTATGAAATTGTCCTTGTTCTATATTTTTTAACAAGTGGAATTATAAATATTTAAATGAAAATATTTATATAAAAATTATTCAAAAATATATTACTTTATTATTCAAAAATATATTACTTTATTATTTTTAATATATATATATGATTTTTAATAAAATTTATATAATTTTTATAAAATTTAAAAGATAAATGGGTAGAATAAAAGAGTAAATATATCATGTATTATTTTAATTTTAATTAATATTAAATTTTACATAATTTATCTAAAAATATATTAAAATTTACATCAACATTTAAGTAAATAAGCATATGAACATTTTAATAGATGAACCATTTTACTACTACCAAAATGTACAAAGATGACTTTATTAGATGAACATTTAACTAATAAGCAAATTCTTTATTCATGTCAACCAATGAACTCTTTTTATACTATCATCTATATTTTATCTTCAAAATCCATTATTTTTTAAGAGTGAACATTATAAATATATTATATAAATTTAAATATATTTAATTTACTAAATAATATTACAAATTTTACTTACATACGAAAAATTATATGAGAAAATCCGCATATGTATATTGCATATAATTAAAGAGAGTTGTTTAAAATGGAGTAAGTTAGTATTATGACATTATTATATTTGTGTTCAAATTTTAGAGGGGAGATGAGAAGAAATATGAGAAAAATACAGGTTAGATTAAAATGTGTATTTTACAAAACAAAGTTTCATTTTTCAATTCTAACAAACAATTTTTTTTACATCCAACCAAAACATTAATAAAGCAAGGAATGCCTTAGGATTAAGACCTAAGAGACCACCAATTTTCTTATCCCATTTTATTATTCCTTACCTAAATTTGTATCAACAAATCCAAGTGTATATTTTGTAAAATAAGAAATATATTGTCAAGTGATACACGTAGCCAAGTGCTTCAAACACGTAAGAACCATAATTCATATGATTAAAGTTGGTGGATTTAAGTGAAAAAGAATGACAATAAAAGCTGAGGTTACTCTTATAAAAGATAAGAAACACTTAAGCAGATCAATGATGCACATCAATGTTATAACATTTATCATTCCACAAATCTAAACATTCAGTTTAGGCCAGGAGAAGTAAAATATAAAAGATGAGGCTACTCTTATAAAAGATAAACACTTAAGATCAATGATGCACATCAATGTTAGAACATTTATCATTCCGCAAATCCAAACATTCAGTTTAGGTCAGGAGAACTTTATTTTACCTAACAGGGCTTCACCTTACAAGAACCAAATCATACAGTATTAAACATGACAAGAGAAATATACACATTTCTTGGTTTGATAAAAAGAATACTCCTTAGCAATACACTTATGTCGTTATATGAAGCCTCACCCTACTACATGGTTGTTTCATTTCTTTGCAAGCAACTTCTTTGGAAGCTTATCAAAAGGGGTAAACTTTAGCAAGAAAAGACTGGCAGCTCGCTCTTGCAATGTACTACCACATTTAAGCTTGCGTTCATGCAGTTCAGAGTTCAGCCGCTCCAATCCAAGAACCTTTAGAAATGAGAAAAACAATTAATGATGTATCATCGTTAAGCATTATAAAAGCAACTGCATCACCACGAGGCCCATGACAATTCAATTTATATGCTGATTTTAAATTTCACTCCATGATATATTTTCTTGAATTATTCAATTTGTCTGGTCCAATAACTTTGTACACAAGAACATTAAGACAAAGCTAAAATAACATCAAATAACTATGGCCAAATTTACTTGCGCTAAAGGAAACCATTTGATAAAATTACAACTACAAACCGTTGAATATCCTATATCATCTAGGTATGCAATCATTGAGTTAGTTGAAAGCAATATTTTTTCTAACGATGTATCAATGGTATTGATATTTATTAGTATTAAGCTAAGGAAAAGGTAAAGAAGTTCAAGTGTTCAACCATACCTCCATCTCTTATGAATAATTGAAGTCGTTAAAGTTCAATGGCTTTTTTGGTTCTATAATGTTAGCATTTAAAACTACTGTTTCTTTTTGAACTTCTGATTCCAGTTTAGAAGAGCAATTGACCTCATTATTTAGTTCACTTCCAACTCCTCCATTTTCTGCAAGTAGAACACTGGAATTTTAACCAAATATTTCCACTGGATCTTCCGTTTTAGTTCCATATATTCCAGCATCCCATCAGCTTGAGCTGCTTCACTTCCAGCAATGGCATCTGCTTCAACCATGGTAGGAGCATCTTCACCACAAGATTTTGAGTTTTGTTGCAGAACAACCTCTTTCTCTTCCTCAGAGCCAGTCTCACTTGAGGCTCCACCTAAAAATTCCATATCCTGATTCCCCACGAAACCAAACCAAAACTCCCCTCGGTTCCCTTGCTAGAATCAGAATGATTCCCATTGTTTAAAACTACAAATTTCTCATTCTCTTCTTCATCCACACCACTATCATCGCTATCACTATCACTCTCATCCACTTTCCTTTTCCCATCCTAAATGATCAAACAAAACGAATAAATGATCAAAACATTAATACCAACCTAAATTACCAGCAAATTAAATGATCTTAAAAACTTACCAAATCTTCAATTTTTTGGGGTCAACTCCTCCTGGCACCACTTTCCGCTTTCCATTTTGGCTTGCTACCCTAACGGACTCTTCAACAACCGCCACACACCTCGCTGATTGCTCCCTATACTTTGCCACATACTTCTCAGCCTCTCCATCTCCAACTCTTTTTTCCCAGTTTTTGCTTTCTTCTTAATAAAGTCTTCTGCGATCTTCTCCAACCTCCTCTGTTCCTCATCCTCTTGAAACCTCTATTGCCACCAATAAGCTGGAGGAAGAGATTGAGGGTGGCGTTGGAGTGGGAAATCTCCGAATCGTCATTGACTTAATGGTCGCTAATTAGGCACTGGAGGTTGATAGGGATTTTGGTAATTTCATAAATTCGGTGCTTGACATCACCGACTTGGGTTTGAGGGGTCGGAATTGGAGTGACAGAGTCCCGCCATTTAGAATTTTAACGAACAACTGTAGCTGCCTTGGGTTGAGGTTCTTGTTGTTGATATCATTTATGCTAATTTGATGATCTTCTATAACTGATACGAACAATGTGATCTTTGAAATCGGAAGAGGAATTATACTCTGGGAGCTTCTCTCACCAAATCGAAGAAGACTTTTCCTTCGCAGAATCAAGCTTACTGGAGAAGGGTATTTTAGCCAACAGAGACAGGAATAAACAAATACCTAAGGGAGATGTGGGACTAACATTCCCAGTAAAACAGAACAAAAGAATTACTGTTGGTATTGAAGTTTTACCTTCGCTTGGGAATGTGGTCTATCTAAACATGGGTATTTTAACCCGGAAAAAAAGATTCCTCTCAGTAATGCAAAAATCCGTGAACCAAACACCCCCTAAGGGTAATATTGGAATTGAATATTTCGGGTTGGAATTAATGTTTTCCATCTCAAGCGCCAATAATAATTCGTATCACGGACGTACTACTGCTCTATTATATTTCAATAGTAGTTTTTATTTCAAAATTATTTTTAGGGTAAAGTATAGTAATGGTCACTAAACTTTTCTAAAACTTTCATTTAGGTCCCCCAACTTTTAAAACTTGCAATATAATCCCCCAACATTTATTCCGTTTGTAATATGGTCCCCAACAGTTACGTTGGGACCATATTGTAAACGGAATAAATGTTGGGGACCATATTGCAAACGGACTAAATATTGGGGACCATTTTGCAAGTTTTAAAAGTTGAGGGGACCTAAATGAAAGCTTTAGAAAAATTCAGTGACAATTACTATACTTTACCCTTTATTTAATTAAATGGTCATGAACTATTTTTCTAATCATGACTCAATTCAACCTTCTCTATTGTTCTTATTACCAGGTTAAATCAACCAATTTGGGAACAAAAATATGATCACATTACAAGTATGAGTTATTTTGATTTGGGAAAAACTCAACCAATGAATTGAAATTAAATAATTCAAT